GGAAAATAAATATGTATATTAAACATTATCTAAAGTATTATTCGAAATAGCAGATTGAAGTAAAAATTAAACGTTTGGTAAATTTGAACGATACGATTAATGATGTTTTTTTATTAATAGGTATCTAAATAACCTTATTACTATTATCTATACTAATATTATAAAGCTGAAGAGTTTGTTTGTTTGTTTGAACGCGCTAATCTCAAGAACCACTGGTTCGAGTTGAAAAATTATTTTTGTGTTGAATAGACCATTTATCGAGGAAGGCTTCAGGCTATATAACATCACGCTGCAACTATTAGGACCGAAGAAATAATGGAAAATGTGGAAATAACTGGGAAAATGATTCGTCCTTGAGGACTTCCGTTGCGTGCGCTGTGAAAACGGTTCGAGATACCATAAATATATGTATGAAAAACTATGCTATGATAACAGCAATCACTGTTTACTATTCAATTTGTAATTATATCTGTGTCATGCTATGAATCGATACCCAAATAAACAGTAACATAAAAACTAAGTTAAAGTACCAAAGAACCTTCTTTTTATTGAGATTTTATCGATATAATACCAATATTGTTAAGTGGAATGCTTGATTCTAACAGACTTACAAAGTGTTAAAGTACCTTATTGTTATATCGGTAGGTGTGGCTAATATTTATCACACCACGTCTTTCAACTACCGTTCATTATGCCATGTCTTGATTGCCACGCCACTAAGGAAGGTACACCCGTAATAGAATTAATCAGATGAAAACGGCTTGCGATTTACAAAACTAAAATTTGACTAACACTAAGTGCAGGCTCAGCGTTAATTTACTGCAACGCTATAGACCTTGTTTATTAATAACACCGTTAAAGCTCAACTTAGAAAAAAAAACTTTACTATAGTATGTCATTTTTGTGAAATTATGTTTATATACCAGACGTGTTATGGGAGTTTGAACCTAAAAATATATACAGCATATGGTTCATTATCGTAACAAACCCAGGACAAATAATTAAACCAGGGACACACGTACTGTCGGGGCGGCTGTGCATTCGTGCATAATGGACTCGGGGCGAACGAAGCGGCTGACGCTTGACAAAACGTAGCTTGACTTTCACTCTCATTTTGAACCAGTCTGCGCTTATAAATAACGCATAACGTAATGTTGAGATATTTGCACACTTTCGGTAAACATCCGAATATAGACAATATGTAGGTACAAATTATCTAATGAGGTTATAAAGTTGATTTGTTACCATAAGTTGACTCAATAATTGATAAATTAAGATATTCTATTAGCAAATGCATCAACGCTGTATATATTTTACTTTCTATAAAAATAACTACTAAGTTTATTGAATTAAAAAAAAAAACAAAATTATAATTTATAACATGTATAAATAGTTTTTTTATTTATTTATTTACTTTCACAAATACAATATATCAATTGAGGCCCCATTTTAAGCAAGCAAGTCGGCAATAAAGTTAGATTAGTTTATTTAATTATCTATGCTCATTGCTGATACACTAGGTATGAAGTAATGAATCTTTATCTATAAAACATTTAATATATGAAAATTAATTTAAAGTACTATGTATGTTCAAACCTTTCACAGGACAAATTGTAAATTTAAATTATACCTATAAAAAAAATGTTTCTAAATATATCGATTAGAACTTTGAGCGAGATCGCTCATGTTATCGTGTGTCTGTTCAATAAACATTTTCAATTTGTTATCTCATCATAACACCACAGTCGAAATATTTCTTCTTTTGAATAGAGGTGTAAGTTAGTACTTATTACGTACAACATTCGGTTCTAATCAAACGTCTCCATGTTCATACACGGCGAACTAACTTGCACTTGGAGTGGAAATGAATGACATGTGTGCATTTTTTCCCGCCCAAAGAGGCCGCGGGCTAGAGGTTATACACCCATTATTATGTCCTTCCTACTTTCAATTATTATTATCGGGCGGCGGCGGTGCCGCACCCGTGAAGGGGAGGAGGAGAGAGGCGCAGCTGCTGTCTACCAATAATCAAGACCTGTATTTGTTAGAGCGAGAAAGAAATAGTATAGAGAACGTAAAAATACATTCATTTGATGATATAATTAATTTTATTTAAAAACAAGCAATATGTAGGATAAATTGTACTTTTAATATTCATGATAGTTCAACACCAGTTAATAATATTGACGTTAAGCTTTTCAAAAGTAAATAAAACTGGCATAAGTCTGAACGCGATAGGAGGCGGATCTACGAACTTGGCCGAACGTGATCGGTTTTCATCGAGTCGTTGACAGTATGCTCGCCGCAGCTTGGCGGCCGGTCGTGAGAATGGTGTGTTCCGTACGCGAACAAAGGAAAATATTTGTTAGCAAGTGTAGAGTGGATAATGTCGTCTGAGTCTTCTAGAGTGCAAGTGGAATACATAAACGAGGACAAAGATAAAAAGGTAATTTGTGTCCAGAGGAATGTAAAAGTGTTATTGTGTAACTTATCGGACGCCAGCGGGCAGCGGTCTCGTGTTGGTGCAGGGGGAGGGCGGGGCGAGTGCGGCCCCGGCCGTGTGGGGCCCGCCAGGCCACACGCAGGAGGTTGTGACCGTGTCGCAAGTAACTCCCTTGCCGAAATAGCATCAGCGTCCTCCTTCAGTTTTAATGCCCACCCTTTCTTAATAAAATTACCATGTGTTACGATCAAAATTAGTAGATCGTTAGAGCTCTTCTTGTTATAGTCTAGTCGTTGCACAAAACTACGTTCGCCATTTTAATCATAGAATATATTTAGAGTCAGTCAGTCATTCTTTGTGGCAACTGTTAATCTACAAATTAATAAAGAAGGGTGCAAATATTTACACACATCTATTTATTTACAGCCTTACATAGCGATGCATTAGAAATATAATTACCAACTGCTCAAAAATCATAGTCACGCGTTTTAAGGTGGGTGGATCAAAGGGCGGCAGCGGCCTTGCGTACGACGACTCCCGGCACTTGTTAGGAAAAGGCGTGTCGACTCTATACAACCATGATAACGTTATATAAATAATATTGTTGCACTTTCCAAACTTTTAAATAGTTACTCCAAATGAATGTTTGTATCCCAGAATTTTAATCAGCTTTTCTGACAAGTTACGAAAACTCTTAAGGGCCTAAAATTAAAGTTCAAATTCCGTCGACCTTTAGGGTTGTATTACGTATTAACATAGCATAATTAAACAATATGTGCATTTTTATTTATATTCGCTCCACAGTGGCTATAGTCACAAATATTATTGTCTATGATCTATTAATTTGTTATGGTGAATGAATGAATATAGCCACGGTCTATTATTATAAGAATGGATATTTATCCCAAAGAGTACTTATATAAAGTCTATCTACCTATTCCTTCGATCGACGATACATCTATTCCTTAAAATTTGTGCTCAGTAAATTTTATAAGCGTCAAAATGTATACCTACATTGACAGAAATAAAATTTTAAATTCCTGATGTGTACTATATAAGTTTTTATTTCGTAGTTATACGAATTAATGACGGAAATCAATGAGGTAGGTAAGTATTTTTCTTAATTATGGAAATTATTTGGATTATGATTGATACTAAGGTGTATGGTGTGATCTTCATCTGAGGCCTAAATTTGACTATAGTTGGATCTGAGATCTGATACAGTTTTTTTATAGTTTTCTATGTGGTGTTTAGTGTCGGTAATTGTATTTGATAAGTTTTTTTGCATCATCCCATCAATAAAGATAACATTGTTTAACATTAGTTGGATTGAATCAACCAATCTTAAGTTACATTTAAACATAACCAATGGCATAAAATTAGATATTATGGTCAAAGTAATCAAATCAGTACTTTAGCTTATAAATGAACTGACAAAAGTAGGCAAAGATTTGTTTTATATCAAACTAGCTGTCTGCTAAAGTTTTTATAATGCTGGTTGATGATGATCGATGACTAAATCAGATAAAGTGCCATATCCAAATGTGACATTTTTATTTGCAATAAGGTTTGTAGTGAGATGTGAGATATATGTGTGATGTGATCATATGTCCCACTTTGGCTGAGAATATCCCGCTTTCAGGCTGTCGGTACCACTGTCTCCAATGAGAATGAAATTGTCTTGCTTTTACACTCGACTCACTCTATATATATGCATATATGTAGTACCTCAATAATAGAGAATATATATAAGAATATCCACATATTTTTTTTTAATTCTATTTGTACTCTTCAACAAGCTGCGTATATACAAAATGATTCTTAAACAAAATGTATGTGTAACGCACAACAATGGGGAGTGCTAGGAACTCCAATGTAAACATAATATCTAGGCTGTAAAATAACATTCTATGAATAACTTCAAAATACTAACTTTGTGATCCATAATGCTTTGGACATAGGAACTGTTAAAGAAGAATTGAGCTGACAGAGAATAAATATATGACACCACTGGAGAATCATCCAAACCACCTAGCTAGATTAGTTAGTAATGATCAACTGCACTAACACTTAAACACCATCATAAACAAGATCTTGCAAACAGATGGTGAAGGATGTGGGGATTTCTACTGAGGAGCTTCCTGTACAAGATCAAATTTACTTATAGTTTAGGACTGATTGCAGATAAAATAAAAAATAATAATATATATTTGTGTTAATGGTTGTTGAGGTTTCAGACCCAGTACAGGTTCCGTGTTCACATAAGTGAATTTATGGAAAATGCATGTAAAATTTAAGAATCAATATGCATTTTAAGTAATTGTATATTATTCTCTTCAATTTTTATTATTCATATAGTTTATGTAACAAGTTGGTGAAATATTAACAAAAACCTAAAAAGTAATATATTGTTTACTTTGCAATATAGTAAATAGATGTTGTTATAGAACTAGAGATTTGGACTCAAGTCAGAAGTTGTGTCTATTTTGTATTACTGTTACTATACTGTTTACACTTGAGTTATCTATATTAATTTTTATAGCAAATACAACTCTGCATAGAGGTGTTAGTATATTATAAGTTATATTAGTTTAGATGTAATGTGTGTGCGTGCGTGTGTGTGTATAGGAGGGCAGCGGTAGTCAGTCGCCTCTGGCCCTGCTGGCGGCCACCTGCAGCCGCCTCGGCGCCGCCACCATGGGGCCCGACCACCAGACCTCCGACAAGGAACAACAACACTACAGTGAGTTTAACGTGTACTATCTTAACCGTCAACCATCGAACGTCCATCTTAACAAAACGTAAAGGAAAAAATTGAAGATAACTTCGCCTACTTTCGATAGGGACCTACGAAAAATCGAACATCACATCGGAGGCAAATCTAATTTGTTTTGGAGTCTCTCGTCCATTTATCACTAAACCGCTTTCGATCCGGGATAAACATAGTTTAATGGAATCGGAATTTATTAATGTCATCTGACCTTTTCAGGTCCCCAACAACAGCAAGCTCAGCAGCAGGCGCAGCAGCAGCAGGCGCAGCAGCAGGCACAGCAGCAGGCACAGCAGCAGGCACAGCAGCAGGCACAGCAGCAGGCGCAGCAGCAGGCGCAGCAGCAGGCGGTGCAGCAGGCGGTGGCTGCGCACGCGGCGCAGCAGCAGCAGCACGCGGCCCTGCTGCAGCAGGCGCAGCAGCAGGCGCAGCAGCAGCAGCAGCAGCAGCAGGCCGCGGGCGAGGGCGCGCTGGCCGCCATCCAGCAGCAGTACCTGCAGCAGCAGCAGCCGCAGCTGCGCGTCATCTCCTCCGCCGTGGTGCAGCAGCTGCGCGCGCAGGGGCTCTCGGTGGGTTATCGAAATCGAGGTGTGTGGCGGCGACGGCTCGTGTATATGTATGATCGTTATTCCCGGTGTTGCGCGTTGCGTGTTGCAGGGGAACGAGCTGTCGGCGGCGATCGTGAGCGCGGCCAGCGCGGTGCCCGGCGGCGTGCACGTGCAGCAGCCGCAGGTACGAGTCGGCCTCTGACTTCTGATAACTTTCAACTCGTTCTATTGATTCGCTACGTAAATGATGAGTTGGAACTGAAATTACTAAGCTTACGTTGCTCGCGATCGGTTACGAATTGTTACAATCAATACGTATCGGAAATATCAGAAAATCCAGAACTATTCTGGACATTTGTAAAGACGAGACGCGATAGGACTAGTTTATATGCTATGTGTATGCTGATGCTGGGAAAGTCAGTGGCATGTTTACTTCGTATTTTGGATCTTTTTATATGAATGAAATTGATAAAAATGCATTGGTTCAGGTTGATTTAGTTGAATATCATGGGGCAAGTCTGGGCTTCAGTTGTGTATAAACTCAGTCGTAATGAGGTTTTCAAAAAATTAAAATGTATTGATGGAAATAAGGGTGCTGGCCCAGACGAAATCCCACCTATATTTATCTGAGTATTTAGTTGATCCACTATAAGTAATTTTTTTAATACATCACTTTCTACTGGCACATTCCCATCAAAGTGGAAGACAGCTAAAATTTTACTATTATTAAATTCTGGTGGTGAAGTTATGGTGCATAACTTAAGACCCATCTAATTTTGTTCTGTTTAGCCTAAATATTAGAATCATTGATTTGTCCATATGTAGTTAGCCATAATAAACAATTTGTCACTGAGTTTCAACACGGATTTGTCCAAAATAGATCCACGACCACAAACTTAGTGGATTTTTCTGAAACTTAATTTGAAGTCTTGGACTCCAATAAACAGATTGATATCATATTCTATTGCAAAAAATATTGAACTATGGTTTCTGTAATTCCTTGTGGAAGTGGTCAAAGTCAAGTCAAAATAATCTTTATTTATAAAAACCATGTCATTACCAGATCAATACATTATTAATAGAGAGAGCAAAAGAAAACTATGGTCTTATAATGATAACATAATCATTTAATAGTAATGGTTAGAGTCTTATTTGCACAATCGTAATTTTTACATAGTTGTGAATGGTTTCCAATCAAATTTAGTTAATATCTGTTCAGGCGTGCCTCAGGGATCTCATTTGGGTCCAATTCTAATCAATATATATGTAAATGACATTCCTAATCGTTTGAAATATTCAAAACCTTATTTTTATGCAGATGATTTGAAGTTTTTCAGGGCCACTAACACAGTCAATGATTCACAATTGCTTCAAAATTATATAAACAATATAGTTGATTGGTGTAAAAACAATGACATGATTTTAAATTCAAATAAATGTTATGCTGTAAGATTTTGTAGAAAGCAAAACCAGATTGCTTATAATTATTGTATTAGTAGTTTTGTGATTCAAAATTTAGATAAAATACGAGATTTTACTACTACTAGATAGTAAACTAACTTATGTCACCCATATAAATGATATCACGAATCGGGCCTCTCATATGTTGCGGTTTGTGCTCCGTAATTGTAAGGTTTTTCTAAAATATAAAACTAAGACATTACTCTTCAATAATCTAGTGAGAAGTATTGTGAAGTATGAGAGTATCATCTGGAGAACACACTATGCAATACATTCTTTGCGTTTAGAGAGAATTCAATAAAGATTTTTATGGCATCTCTTACACTGTTCTGGTATACCTAAAAAGAAACTGCCCTCGTACTAAAGCCTATCACATTTCTATATAACTTCCTTGGAAAACCATACAGATCTAATTGATATATTAAATACTATCTCATGAAATAGATTGCCCTCAACTGTTTGAGAAAGTTAAACTGCGAGTACACTTCAGATATCCTTGCAACAGAGTCACTCCACTAAGCATTCCACTGCGTAGAACTGTACTTGGTTCTAATTCATCGATATGTAGAATATGCAAATTACTAGAAACTAGAAGGATAAGGTAGATAGATAAAAGCAAAACTAATATTAAGTAGTGTTGCGGCTATAATATTGAACAAATCACAACGAGGAGAAAGAAAGTTTGGAATAAGTGAGGCTCAATCGTCTTTGTCATCCCTGAGACAGGCGTAACCACGTACCCGTAGTGGCTTTAACCAAGTCTCAAAGAGAGAGAGAGATCGACAATACCCATTCGGGTAATGTTGTGGTTGGAAATAGATGCTTTGAATTTTTACCGATTAATGAAGTCAGAGGACACAAATTTTTGAAGGTCAAAACCAGTTTTGAATTCTATCTCAATTCTGTTTCTTCCAACATTTTTATACCACCTTTTACAATATTAGTAATGTCGTGTTTGTGGACCAGTTGGCAAAATTGTATAGGGCGAATGGTAGCGCCTGCAGCAGGGTTAGGTTCAGATCTACCGACATGTACACGATGTCAATAGGTCAGTAGTTTGGGTCACGATCGTCTTGATCATATTTACAGTCTTCCGAAAGGCAGAAGTATGTAAATAGTTAGAACACAAACTGAAGTACCCATATCGGTAGTGTTTCTAATACGTTTGTCTATACTTGTGACAGATCTGTCGGTAATTTATGTTTCCGAGAGTCTACTTTATCTGTCGGATAGTGAGACTGAGATAATGCCTCGAAGACACAAATTCATTATCTTGTGGATTTGGGGGAAAAGGAGGGACCTATTCCATCGTGGCCTTTAACCTATCGCCTGCTTAGAAAGTTCTTAAACAACGAGACCAAATCACAAAGTAGTCGTTTTTTATGCGTTCACGGTCATAGGTGTCGTATCGTAGGTATCTATTTTTCAAAATCGGGGGTCGTCTCGACGGCGATCGCGAGGTTGAACCCGGGGCCGACCCGCAGGTGGTGTCGCTGCAGCAGCTGCAGGCGCTGCTGGGCGGGCAGGAGTACCAGGCGCCGCTGCTGCAGCTGGCGCCGCAGGTGGTGGCGCAGCAGCAGGCGGTGTACGGCGGCGGCGTGGGCGGCGTGGGCGGCGGCGTGGGCGGCGTGGGCGGCGTGGGCGGGGTGGGCGTGCAGGCGGTCACGGTGGACGGGCAGGAGGCGCTGTTCATCCCCGCGTCCGCGCACGCCGCGCCCGCCATGCAGCACCACGCGCAGGTACCCACGACTGTCGGATGTAACACCCGCGTCACGTCCTTTAAAAATAAATCATCCCATCCATCTATGATATAATAACAATATCATATATAAATCTAACAATTTATATGTTAATCGATCAACAGCTCATACACCTACCGCTTCGAAGCTTATAAGTTAGTAAAAAAGATGTCGAGACAATACAATTGAAAGTCGATGTGCAATTAATTTTAAAAGAAGAACAACCATGTGGAAAAAGTTTTTCCGAGAACCTCAAATTGTGAATATTCTATGTAAATTCAAGGAACCTATTACGATAAAACGGCAATTTTATACTTTAGTTACACCTAATATATGTTAATTAAGGTATATGCAAAGTAAAAAAATATGTGTAAAATGTCATTGACTTTGTAATAACGCGAAAACAAACGGAATGGACGTTTTATAAAACAAAGTAAAAAATTCAAATGAAATGAGAGACTTTGGATATATTTATTTTTAGTGTAATTAGATTTACTCGTCGTGAAAGTCATACTAGCAGTCGGTATTTTAGTCCACCATAACGAGTAACAATAAAAGTTAACGATAACAATCGAAATCAGGGAAAACATTACAAAAATTGTGTGAGATCTCAACCCAACCCAACCCAATTCACTGAGTGTACTCGACAACCAGTGTTTATTTGTTAGTGGTTAGTAAAATAGCGCGCAGTTGATATCGAAGAGCGTCAGTATAACGGGCGCGGTGTGGGTGGGGTGTGTGTTGCAGGGCGTGGGCGTGGGCGTGGGCGTGGGGGGGGCTGGGCCCGCTGCAGCTGCTCAACGGCCAGCTGGTGCGCGCGCCGCTGCTGCCCGCCGGCTTCCTGCAGAACGTCATGCAGCTGCCGCAAGGTGAGCGCGCCGAGCTCCTCTTGCTCTCTCTCGCTCTCTCTCTCTCTGTCTGTCGCTCTCTCCGACGTTTAATCTCATTAACCTCCCGTAGAACACTAACGACGTAGACTCATCTCTCATCCGCTCATTCGTTTCACCCCCGCGTTGGTTGACTAACAGAGCAGCAGGCGACGCTGACGCTGCCGGGCACTAACCTCTCCATCCCCATAACCGCGCTGGCGGGCGCCGGGCCGGTGGTGTCGCTGCCGCTGCAGCTGCAGGCCGCCCCCGCCCCCGCCCCCGCCCCCGCCGCCCCCGCGCGCCCGCGCCCGCGCCCCCGACGCCAAGAGGGAGCCGCCGTCGCCCCCGAGCCCGGCCGCGGCAGGTGCGTACTCGCTTGTCCCCGGCTTCTTCGCTTGCTGTGTTCATTTTCCGCTTTCACCTCGCCCGAGTCGATCGTCTCTTCTTATTTTATGTATCGATATATTACATCGCGGGCTTCGAGCCGGAGGGGCGGCCGAGCGATATCCTCGCTTTTCAATAGACATGAAGATGATATGTTTTCGACTAATTTAGCGATTATTTAAAAAATAAATAATAGGTTTTGTCGATTGGCAATATTAGAAGAGCTCGACGTTAAGAAAAACTAACAAATTTTTAAGTATACGCTCTCCGGCTCGTAGCCCCCGATGTAATCGCTCTGTATTGTTCCGGTTTCGACGCTTCATTTTTATTTAATCGTTATTGTTTTTTTTTTTTTTTTTATTTTTGATATACATAATCTTGCCCTAAACATTGTTATATAATAATATTTTTTTTATAGAACGTCACATTTATTATCAATAATATTGATAGCCTTTCATTCAGACATGATTTAATAAAGTTACATATGCATCGATATCCTGTCCGTGTGTCACTGGTTGACAGAGGCCTCCTTCAATTAGTGCCATTTCTCTCTATCGTTTGCTACTTTAGTCCACCTGCTACGGTCTTAATATCGCCTTATAACAACCCGACGTCTAAAAAGTCTACCCTGTTTTCTGTTTCTGCCTGTTGTGAATCGATTCATTTCTAATTTTGACCATTTTTCACTTCCTCCGATTGTGTAGCTGCCCTTATTTAGAATTCTTATTGCAATCTTTGTTCTTGTTTGTTTCCTAATGCTGTCAATTCTGATTCTGTCGAACAGTCTTTTTCCCAGCATACTTGTTTCCATGAAGTTCTGGCATGTTTGTGAGTACCCAAGTTTGGCAGCCATAAGTAAGTGTAGGAAGAATGCAGGTGTCAAATAGTTTCCGTTTGACATTTATCCTGGTTTCACTGTTTCATAGTTTTCTTCAGACTCCAATATTGTTTCCAAGCGTTTCCAATACGTTTATCAATTTCTTTCGTAGTTAGATCTGTAGCAGAAATTATTTGTCTTAGCTATACATATTCATAAACATAATCGATCAGATTGTTATTGGTCCTGGTAGGTCCTTAGTTCACATTTTTCATAACTTCCGTATTAATGTTTTTACTTTAACATTACATTGCTTGCCAAATCTTTTCATGGTCTATAGTATCAAAAGCCTTGTTGTAGTCCACCAAGCAGCAATAAAAGGTGTAGATGAACTGCTTACTTTTTTCAAACAATTATTTGATAACATGAATGTGGTCTTATATTGAGTATCCGCTTCTGAATCCGGCCTGTTCTCTTGGCAGACTTTCTAGTAACCTCCTAGTTATTCTGCAGAGTACTATGTTAATGAAGTTTTGTAAATATTTGACGATAGGCTGATAGTTCTATAGTTATTTATGTTATTTTTATCCACTTTTTTGTGCAAGTTTTATAGTCGACGTTGTCCATTGGTTGGAAATAATTTCACTATGTAGTACTTCGTTAAAGAGGTGTATGAGGACTAGTATACGGTGGTCTTTATTTAGTATAATAAACTCATTGGCTTTATCTTTCTTTTGAGATTTCACAGCTTTGTCAATTTCTGCAGAGGTAACGTCCATTACTTCGCTTTCTCTTGCCACAAGCAGCAAGAGAAAGCGACGTGCATTTTCTTACGTACAGTTTTGTGTGAAAGTTAGTTTCTTAAGGAAGACATTATTTCTGGGCGACTCTTTTCATATTTGTGGTTTTTGTTTATTAAATTTGGTATCCAGTTTTGTTTTTCTAATAATTGTTTGCTTGCTTTTTTAATGCCTCCTGTTCTGTGTATGCGTTCTGCAAGTAGTTCCAGTCTGTATTTCTAACTTTCCTTTTTAATTTTGTTTTAATTTGCTTTTGGACTTCTTAGGGTTCGATATTAGTTCTGCTCTAGATTGTAGTAGTTCTTTAGTTTGATTTCATATACATTTTATTTTCTTATTTTCATATTCCCTTTTAGTTCTTTTATTTGTGTAAAGTAGTTCTTGAAACTTATTGTATTTATTTTGTAAATCATAATCCTTTGTGTCTTCTATGAAATTTTCGTTTTTCTCTCAGTAACTCTGTACTTTCCAATGCTACGTTATTGATTTTCTTCACCATGAAGTGTCGGTTCTTTTTGAGTGTATGAAGTTGTAATTTAGCTCTAACCATTCTGTGCTTGCTGTAAAAAATTATGTTGCTTATAATGCTACAATCTTGAGAATCGTTGCTGTTTTGAATTTTCAGGTTGTTTTCGTAAGCAAGTTAGAATTTCACCATTCTTTGTCCGGTCCGCTCAGATTGTTACCATTCTTGTCTTTTTTCGCCCGTTCTAGCATCTGCCATTACTATCAAGTTATTGTGCGAGTAGGTTTTTATTGCATTTGACATTCAGTTTTTAGGTGGTGGCTTAAGATAAAAAATTACGACACGTTCTGAGATGCTAATCAATTCATCAATATGTGTTTTTTTTTTATCGTGTTTCTTCTTTGTAGTTTAACATAAAGTCTCCATAGTCGATCTAGTCTCTATATTCTCTAGACGATCAATGTACGTTTTTCAGCTAAAGATACGAGTAATTCCACTAGCCTTTCATTTGTTCCATTTGTTAGTGTACAGAGAGTGTATTATATGTTGGGATTTGTATTATATTTTTGTTTTGACATGTTTTCTTTGAAAAGGTTTGCAGTTGATTATTTTTATTATTTACAAAACGTTGTTGGAGGGTAGTGGTCTTCATCCCCCACGGTGACCGGCCGGATTGGGGTGTCTTTACCAAAAGCTGTTTTAGTTAATTTTCTATTATTATTATATATTATGTTACTGGTTTCCATGCAGTTTACGTGTTTTTTGGCACTTCTGATAGTTAAGCGGACCTTTCTCGTACAACGAAGGAGAGTATGCTGGGTTTTATCATGTTTTGTTCAGGAGGTTTACTGGGCGAGTTGATCTGAAGCGGTAGTTGCAGTCTTCTTTTGATTTGATGAGTTTGGAGAACCTGACTCTTCTCTTGTTTGTTTTTCTTCACTGCTAGTTTATCATGTATGATGAACGCTGTTTCCTTTTTTTTTTCCTCTTCTTTAACTTCAAACTGCTGCAGCTGCTTTCATTTTTCCAGTACTTCTTTCGAATAGTCTCCTTTTACATATATTCCTTGGGATGTTTGGACTTGTTTCGTAGAATGATGTGCTTTTTACATAATGGAAACTAAGACGGGGCGGTTTTTGTTGTGGATTTGTTTTCCAATTCTGCATATATTGCTAATTTCATTACTTTCAAAGTATGTTCCTGGTTCAATCGAGGGATCCATTATCCAATCAACGAGCTCTCCTTTAGTTTTTTGCCTTTCTTTAGCTCCGAAAAATACCTTATTATTTTTCTTCCTATCATTTTTCAAGAACTTCACTTCCTGATGTTGTTCAGATATTTTTATTTTTAGGATATTATTTTCTTCTGTAAGTAATAGTTTTCAGTTTCTCGTCAAGGTCCTTCGTTATATTTTTAGTTAGTGAATTAGTTATGAGAAGAGTTCGGTTGTTTAATTTCTCATCAAAAATTGTAATGAGCCATTCCATATCTTTTTTCTCCATGTTTGGGGAGATTTTACCGTGATGACAATACTGAAATTGACTCCTGCCATGTAGCTGCAGTATCCTGCTCTTTCCGCTTTGTCTCATTTACACAAAGTACATCAATCTTTCTCTCATACATCTCTCATCTGCCAAATTTTATCAGTTTTATCATCCATACTTCCTCTCATATTCAACGTAGCAAAACGGTGCTCCGTGGCCCGCTCTCTGCCCCCGCCGGAAACGAGAAGTGGTGGGTTGCGGACACCACCGCCATCATTTTTAGTAGTTTTGTTGAGATTAAACACCATCTTGTTCCCATGAGTATCCTCGGGACTTGAAACGTCACATCCGGCAGAGCCCGCCATGCCGGAGAAGGTTAAGCCTAAATCGCGGGCACGCTTAAGGCTAGGCTCGCCCGAGGCACGCATCTCCAGGCGCGGCAAACCTTGGATCGGAGGAGTGGAAAAGGAAGAAGGATGAGCCTAGGAAGGGGGTATCAGTGAAAGGGTGATGGAAGTAAGACATGGGACAGGTGCTAGAGGGATAGGTGCCGGAATTAAGTCAGATATTAGCTCGGCGGGTCGGAGACGCATACCCGTATACCATTCTGAATCACCGGACATAATAACTCGAATTAGTATGTCCTGAAGGTTAGGACCTTGTCCCGGGACATGCTCTGCAAACGTGTCCCGGGCCCATGCACCTGTAACAGCGCACGGGCAGGGCTCAGCTCAACACGCTGGACTCTAGCCTCCGTCCGGCCAACCGACAGTTCCCCTCCCTCCGGCAGTGCATCAGCCGCAGCAGCCGGCCAGCGGATGTGCACCGCCTCCCGCCCCGCACTCCCTCCGAATGTAGGTCTTTTCTGAGATCGCGGATCTGAGCTCGACCGCCTCATCGAGGGCAGTTATGCGCATATCGACGCGTTTGCCTTCTTCAGCTCACCTTTAGCGACAAGGCCTCAGAAACGGCTCTCCCCATACTGACCCAGGAATGGCCGAGTCCTGAATTCTGATCGAACGCCTTGCTTTACTCATAATCTCCTTATAATTCAACCCCTTCTTGACCTCTTCAGGGGGGATGGAGATCATAACATTAGACGTACCCGACGCTTTGCCTTTATTCCTTTCTTTCTTTCTGTGTGTGAGGGGTGGCTTCAGTGTCATTTATATGGGTGACTGTGTCACTGGCACAGACGCTCTCCTTACCGCCTCCCTCCTTTCTGTCTGTGGTGTTGTGGTGTATTGGGATCTCGAGCTCTTTAATCCTGTCCTCCAACCGCTTGTTAGTTGCAATCAACAGTAATTCTCCTTGCCGAAATGCTCCCTCCTGTCCTTTATCCCCGTCAACGCGGCCTCAGCATCAACAAGAAAAGTCCATATTTCTTCAAATGTCACGACATGATCCTCAAGACACTCCTTGACAGACTCCACCTCCATAAAAGCATTCCGAAACATCGACCGACACAATTTAACATTATGTTTCTCTTCCACCAGCTCATTATTGCGCTCAGCAACACGCCTACGTATGGAAATCCACTCACTCATTGTTATATTTTGATTATTTTGCATTCACAATGCCATACTGAATATTATTCTTAATACAAAATGCTTAAAAAACCCACTCGGTCGCTAGCACCCTGAGATGGGAATCGAACCCCCGACCATTCGCAATCCGGGCGACTGCTCTAACCACTGAGCTACCCAGGACCTAACAGGACTGACGAATCTTTCGAGCACTTGTTACTTTTCGCTACTACAGAGCGTATACTCATCAATGTTCAGGCATCCACCCAAACACTCATTTCCAGTATGTAGTTACGATCGGGCACGTCACCTGCTACACACCATGTATGTGTAGCAGTTCCGGCACACATACATACTATCATCCTCCTCGTCCGTAACCTCTCCTGCCGAACCTCTCTCATCAACCTCCATCGGTTTCCTCTCAATTACACCCAAGTCGGGCCCCTCATCTCCAACTGCGCATTCGATGCACTCGACTCATTTGACTCGTTAACACCCGAGTCAGGACTAAAGTTTTTAATTTCTTAAAAATATTACCATCCATATCGATCCCACGAGAGTCAAAGTAACTCGCGCAGAGGCCTGATACGCGCGAAGGGTCAAGACGCCCTCAAGACGGCCCTGAAATGGGCCAACACGTTCCCCCTGCGAAGAGGGGACCGAGCCCGCCACCTTCCCGCTCGGCTGCCGCTACCCGGAATAAGTCCGGGACGCCAGTCGAGCCCCTCCGTAATGTTGCTCGGTCCACGACGGCCGAAGCCGCTACCCGGGGGACGCGCCCGGTAGCAGGAACAGCCAAAACTGCCTCGGGTTGGCTCCATGCTTATATTATGTAATGCAATCACAGCGACGCGGTTCTATTATCCCCCCCACTCTATTTTAATTTCACAAAATATTTGATAACATATTGGCTTCGATCAACAATACAACTAGATAACGCTTTCCTATACTAAAACAATACTTAAATACGGCACCAAACCATAGACCATACACTGCGAAAACCAAGGAATATACCATACACTATATTCTAGGCGAAAACTGAGCTCCGGAGTTGGGTAAGTGAGGAGTCGTATACGTTGATAATAAGGGACCAAACATCAATTATAACATATTGAATTTACTGTTTGTTTATTTGCCCTTGACTACCATATACTACCACCAGTTCAACATTTTGAGTCTTTACTAAGAACCGGCGAAACGAACTATGATAAGAAAGTGATTACTCTCTATTACTTTATTGTTTTGCGGTGTGTGATCTGGGTTGAGATTTCATCGTATTTGACTAATTATTGGATTCGAAGTCGGTGGTATAATCCAACCTCCATCTTTTTTAAAAACTATTAACGTTCAATCACCGATTTAAGTCACTTTCAGGGAACGCATATTTTGCTTTGAATAGTTTTGTTGTAAATAGATAAACAAAATACATATAAAACACCCAGACCGACACAAGCCTATATGTTCATGCATGCGGCTTTGTAATCGTGTTCTCGAGAACACGAACCATTAACACAAGATGGTTTTCAATTATTGTTAACTTTTGTTAAAAAATGTATTAGTACACTACTCCATATTTGTGCTGTCTTAGAACATTTGGCCATCTATTTTTGAATTACTGCCGTTTTGGCACGTTGCTTGGGTCAGAATTGTCAGAAACAAAACTCGTTTATTTTATTGAAAATACTTTGAATATTAATTATAGACGTTGTAAAATCACATTTACAACCCGTAAATATGATATTCCAACAGATACATTTTTATTCCGATATTTATATTTGCAGTTTTAATATGCACTGTGACATCGTAATATGTCTGAACGTTTGCGCCGTCGCAAACATACTAAATCGAAATAAGACCGAACTTTGAAGTGAGGCGTTATGTCTTCGGCCATCTTTGAGACTGACCGCACATCTAGTTGTATTGTCGATCGAAGCATATTGGCGCGAATATAAGAAAAGAAAGATAAGAAGAAAAGACATAATAAAATTACAGATTGGAAATTCATAAGTAATATTTTGTTTATTTTTAAGTTTAACAGTGTTTATGGCCAGAGTAAGTAATATTGAAAAAGGTTCCATCCTGATGTAGATGAATCCCGTCGAAAACATAAATCTAAAACTCGAAATGTATCTCTGACGACGTTAATATATTTTGTGAAGACTTGCATCGATCGAGATGAGTGCATTCCGAGAGCGTCTAAGAGATCTCATTTTATATTCGTTCTCGGTAGTATGTAGCATGTATGCCTTAATTCATATGAAAAAATTAATGTTTTTGAATGGATATCATTACCTATTTGTACAGAAAATATGAGTAGGAAATGAGCCTAAACACCGGTTGTTATAAATTTTGATTGTTATTCTTACATTCCAGACATTATAAGTGAATGTTCCTGAAAAAGTATAAATATCGAGTAGTTACGGATTTTTCCTTCGTGTCCACCCTAACTGGATGCCAAATTTCATCCTTCAAGTCCAATAAAATAAACATCTATGTATATAAGTATAAAAATAAATTGCTGTTTTTTAGTCTCGCTCAATTTAAAACGGCGGGGTCGATTTTGCTTTTGAAATGTTTGTCGTAGACCACTGTGAAAGTTTAAACGATGTGAGGTGGTATGGAGTAAACTGGATCATCTAGTGTTATATAAAGGTACTTTGAAAATGTTTTGGATCTCAATAGAAAATATATTTTTTGACTTGATCGAAAAAAGTACTCGGTGAGCGAGTTTTTCGGATATTTTCTGGTAGTCGATTTAAACTTATTTTTACGACCTTTTATCAATTTTTAGGTTTTCATACCCAAAGGGTAAAACGGGAACCCTATTACTGAGACTTCACTGGCTGTCTGTCTGTCACCGGGCT